TTCGAGCCTTGCAGCTCGTTTTTATAATCGTTGACAATTCGTGACTATAAAAACGAACCGCAAAGCTCGAATAATCGCATCTACTCTTCCCAAATTGTCCATTTTCGTGCGCAATCTCAGCGTCAATTAGAGAGACATGACTGCATATCGAAAGAGAATTCTTGTATTCGAAAATATGAAAGTATATTATCATGCTTCATAATTGCGGTGTTCCAATTTTACTGGACACGCATGAAATTTGTTCATTTTCATATTCGACGTTAGTTTTGAAAAGTGCAATGTTAATATTTTATTAACAATATTAATACTTTTCAAGAATTCGTTATCAATCTTCTCAGTTTTGCACACTTTTTGCCCGAAGCATTTCTGCCTGGAGAGCGAGCAGGGCATTTCATTGCATTAATTTGATTATCTTTGAAATACCGTTCAATTATACGAATGGTGTACGGTAATGTCTCTCTAATTGACGCTCAGATTGTCCACAAAAATGGACAATTTGGAAAGAGGAGATACGATTTTTTTATGCTTGCGGTTCATTTTTATAATCGTAGACAATTCGTAACTATAAAAATAAATCGCAAGGCTCGAATAATCGTTCTCCTCTTTCCAAATTGTCCATTTTCGTGCGCAATCTCAGCGTCAATTAGAGACATTACTGTATTTCTGTGCACAACCTGAGCGTCAGTAAGGGAGACATTACTGTATTTTTGTCGGCGACCCTGGTTATCAGCAACCGGCTACATTTCCGGGAACGTTTCTCGATATCGTTATTGTTATCGGTATCAGTATCAATGTGTGCTCAACTGGTCGCACCTATGATATACGATTATCGTGTAAGTAGAATAAGATTTCGCGGATTCTCGAGAGGCCACGGCGCAAGGAGGAAGTTATTTTAATCTCGGTTTCGCGGAAGAATCGATGTTTCCTATTACGTTTTTAAGCTTTCGACTAGGCTAAGGGTTCGTTCGTTTCGACCGGAAACGAAACGAAAAGCATGGAAAACTTCCGCGAAAACGCGCGCTGCTCGGTCGACCGTGTCAGTGAAACACGGTTTCTTTCAAGGATTTTTTAACTAGACAATTCGCGATTCGCGCGCGTCGCCTGCAAACGAAACGAGACAATCAATTTCGCAAGTCGTTGTTTCATCGACCCGAGCGACACGTGTATTCTACGCACGTCGCGCGGCAATTATCGATCGGTTCGGCGAACATATGAAAGATCACGATCGTTCGAAACGACGATCGATAATCAACCGTGTCGACGTAGCGCGTTCGCGCGTCCTCTTCTATCGAACACAATCCTTTCTATTTACGGTTACAATTAGTATCGAAATTTGTAATACAAGTCGCACTCGTATATTCCATCATTATAAAAATTATATTCTTCATATTTCCAACGTTACGACGTTACGAATAAACATTGTTATACCATCCGTAAAGCTGTGTCGCATCGCTGCCTAATCGAACAGTCACGTGGTCTACTCGGACTCGCTCGGTTTCTCTTGAAGTTCGACCAGCGACTCGATATTCATTTCCCGATGGAACTCCTCGAGGGGCTGCTCCCAACGTTCCTCGAAGTAAACTCCCAATAAGAATTTCGCGTCGTTCCCGGTTCGAATGGCCCACGGAAGATGATAACGGAGATACATCTTCCTCTGCCTGAAATCCGCGCGGTGCTCTTTTATCGTACACAGCTTTTCTTAACACGTTGAATGCCACGCCACGGTTTTACAGAAATTTCCCGTGGCGCCACGATGAATTTTCTATTCTGCGATACATATAATGTTGAAATATTATCTGCAATAGATAAGTTACAGTGTATAACCATGTTTGACATGTTAATTGCGACGGGGATCACAGTTTGAATTGACGATGGTAATGATACAAAATTTTAGATATTGACATTTCTTTTAAACTATACAGGGTGTCCCGAAAATGTCTCGCAATCCGGAAATGGGAGATTTCCGAGGTCATTTGAAGCAACTTTTTCCTTTGCGAAAATTTTCTCCGAGGCTTCGTTTACGAGTTATTAACGAAAAACACTGACCAATAAGAGGCGAGCTCGGCTGCCGCGCGGCGGCCCAGCCAACGAGTGCGCGGAGCCCAGTTCCGCTCATTGACTCGGCCGTCTCGCGCCGAATGATCTCACCTCTAATTGGTCACTGTTTTTCGTTAATAACTTGTAAACGAAGCCGCAAATTGCATTTTCGCTAAGGAAAAAGTTTCTTCGAATCACCTCAGGAATCCCCTACTTTCGGATTGCGAGACATTTTTGGGACACTCTGTATATATTTCTATCAATTTGGGCGCGCAGGTCACCGATGGCCCCCATAGGCGTCACCGCCAAGTTGAGCGCCGGTCACCGGTGGCCTCCATGGCGTCACCGCCAAGTTAAGCGCCGGTCACCGGTGACCCTCGTGACATTCAACGTGTTAATGGCCGACGACTGTCGCGTGTAATCCTATATCGCTGTTACCTTGGACGCAACCGATACGCGCCGAATATCGCTCCGGTTAAGCACATCGGCAAACGGAATTGCAACGCTTCTATCCACTTGACGGCCACCTCTCCAAGCATGGTGGTCGGCATCAGTAGCAACGCGTGATAAATATCGTGCGTCTCCCGGTACCGTTGCATCACGTACGCCAATTCGGTATCTTCGACGAACCTGACCAACGGTCTCGAGTCGGGCGACACATTCTGCAAAAGAGGAACCTTACGATTTTTCCATTCTTCGACACTAACATGGGATCACGGCGAGGTTAAATTCATTCTCTTTTTTTCGTCGACCACCCTGCCTACTGAACAGGTGGAAATGATCTTCCGAGTTTGATCACGGTAACTAGACATACACTTGGCCGAACAACTTTGGAACTATAGCTAGTAGGGTATTCCATGCGAGAAAGGAAATTCTGCGACAAGATTCTTTGATGACCCTTTATCGACCGCTAGCCTATTAACCAGTTAAGTGTGTTTGACGACTATATCCGTGATGGAGATGCGGCAGAATTTTGTATCGTGACGATTATATTCGTCCGTTCGTAAAATTTTGTTACAATTCGATATTTAAATTGTAATTCTGGCGAAAACTGAATTATATTCGTATAAATTTTAATATGTTTAAAATGTTCAGAGGTCAAGACGAAATGAAACAAACAAATGAAAATTATAAATAATTTGAGTTGGATTCATAACTTCCTGACAGCTAACTCGTCGCGACACGAGAGCTTATCGCGACACACACTGGCGGGCGCTTTGCAAAGAAATCGCCACAGTTAACTGGTTAATCGGCTTTTCGATTGCCAATGTTTATCGACCGCTAGCCTATTAATCGGCTTTTCGATTGCCAATGCTTCTCGACAGATAGCCTATTGACATTATCCCGTCCGCACATCTTAGATATGATTCTTTTGTTTGACGCCGGCATAATAGCTTGAAAATTTTAGATTTAAAAAAAAAGTTTCGAAGATGGCGGTAATATAAATTCCTAAAATTAAGATATGTCGTCCAAGAATTTTCGTACTTAATTCTTAGTTAAATAAGCACAATGCTATAGTTAGTTTGCTGCCTTTTAACACCCAAGGAATATAGTTCAAATTTTATTTCAGTTTTTTAAAATGGCACCAAAGTGGTACCACCGGCATACAACAGATAGTTTTTGCATGGCACTAGCGTGGTGTCACCGGACGGCATAGTGTTAGTAGGCTTTTAGCTATCGACGATTTTCGTTTCTTTACTGTTTTGTTAGTAGCTGTATACTAACCTCCCCATATCCTTATGAATAATAATATTCTTATGAATTATAATAATAATAATAATAATTAATTATAATAATAATTATTGTTATTATTTTTATTATATAATAATATAATTATAATAATTATTATTATAATTCATAAGGATATGGAGAGGTTAGTATACAGCTACTAACAAAACAGTAAACAATAATAATAATAATTATTATTATTATACATTATTATTATTACTATTATTATTATTTTTTTTTTAAGAAATCAGCACAACACAATGAATAGCGAAAATTTAGCCGCTACTGGGAGCAAATACGCGCGCGACTAGGCCAGGTCTTACCGAGCGACTGCCTCAACCACGACCGGTCGATAAAGTGATAAGATATCGGGACGCGTGTGCCGAATCTCGGGGCTTACGTTCGCGTCCAAAAATTCACGATAAGTTCTGCCGACGGTCCCCTTTGGCAAGCGTTTCAACGCGTCGAGATCGACCGTGGCGGTGGAGATGCGTGGTTGTTCATCGAGAATGCGTCGTCCCTCGGCGGTAGCCAGCATCTGTTGACGGCAGTGGATGAGAGCTTCGGATCCGGTGGTCTCTCCTAGACAGGCGATCATGTCGCCGCGAAACGGATTCGTGAAGGATATCGCGGCGGCGCCCATGGTCAAAACCGCGCGCTGCAACGGCGTCAAATCGATGCGATCCATCGCGTAACTCTTCGCGAACGAGGCGTCGCCGAAAAACCTTCGAACAGAGCCGCCTGAAACCGATCGAGGACAATAACGATCGAGATCATACTACTCTATATCATTAGAATTTATTTCGATAAAACTTTTCTGTACACGTTCTGTACACAGGTTCTCTGTACATGCTCTGTACATATCGACGATCATTGGTTTTGCCCCTAGAAACGTACGAACACTATTATCGGCTATATTATACTATTTACAAGGTAATTTTACTAATCGACGTAATTTACACCGGCGAACCCTCGGCGTTCGCCTCGATCCGAGAACTATGGCCTTTTTTTGCTTTGGTATGATGCTCGTCTCGTTGTGCTCTGCTTTTCTTTTTCTCCCCCCTCCCCATCCCCACCATTACTCTCTCATTATCGCAAACATACGCGCAAACATGCATTCGCAGTCTTCCGATTTATTCTCAGATTTCTTTTCTTCTCGAAAACCCGTTTGCTGTGTTGGGAGTTGTTTGCAAGCAACGACGGAGAAAGGGAACTGAACGAAAGGATCGAAATGCTCCAAGCGAGAATAAGGAATCGACGAAAAAAAAATGAACGGGCAATGTGTCGAGACGGAAAACGAAGACAGAGAGTACGAAGACGAAAGAGACGAAAGACAAGGACGAGAAGAGAAGGACGCGACATATCGTCTGCTAAAATCACACGTTCTGAGCTCTGCTCGGTTGATCTTGGCCGAGCGGAGAATATTTTGGTTCCAACGATTCTTTCCTCCGGAATGTCACCCACGTATAGACCAGGCTACCGATCACGCTCAGATTCAGTCCGATAAAGTTCAGCCACGTGAATATGTAGTCGCCGCCGACGATCATGCCGAGATACGTGACACATATATTTTTCAAGCAGCCGATTATAGTGGTGGTCAAGGCGGAGTTGTGCAGCGTACAGAGGATCATACTGTAAGAAAGCACGAAGCCCATCACGCAGGAAAGCCCGAACTGTAGGATAAAGAAAACATTGTCCCAGTGGGGGAACTCGAGGGTCGAGCGCGCGTCTCCCATCCAGGAAGCGATCGCGACCGCAGGAAGGATCATGAACAACGAGTTATAGTACATCAATCCGTATTTTCCCAGCTCCTTCGATTCCAGCTTCTTCTTCATGTAGACGCCGTTCGCGGCCGTGAACAGGTCGTTCAACAGGATGAACATGTAACCTTCGAGATTGAAAGCGAGGTCGTTCAAGGCCGCCACCACCGCACCGACGATCATCGTGTAGACGCTCAACTGAACGGAAACGCGCGCCTTCGCTCCCAGGATATAGTACTCGGCGATCATCGTCATCAGAATGCTAAATCGTCTCAGAGCGGTGAACATCGGTAGGCTGAGCTGCTTCGTGCCGCCCAATCCGAAGATCATGTTACCGATGTAAATCACTGGCAACGGCCATATCTTCGCGAACGTTGCCACTTCTAGGTTAGGAAACTCGACATAGCGCAGCTTCTTCGCGCCCGACAACAACACGATCGTCGCCAGCATTTGCCCTATGCCGAGCACTTGGAACGATGGGAATTCGAACGACGTCAACACCGTTTTATTCACGACAGTGATCATTAGAGACGACAACCCGTAAAACAGGGCGGAACCGACCCGCTGAAATACAACGTTCTGTTGATTCCCCGGCATACCGAACGACCGACTGACATCCGAAGATTTTCTTCTCGTTCACGTTCACCTTTTCTCGCTATCACGTAACTAATAGATTCTCGCAAAAATATCTAACGTGTCACGTGTCATGGAACGTACTTCGGCATAACCTTAACATCATCCCTTTTCCTCCTATATTTTTCTTTCTTGCTTGTTCGCTTGCTCGCTTCGTTCCTCTTTTTTCCTTGTCGCTTCTTCTTCTTCTTCTTCTTCTTTCTGTTCACTTTGTTTCGAGCACTCGACGAAATGCGCTTGATTAAAGTACGGCAGAATGCAAATTGATTCCGATACAGAGAGTAAGTGCTGTTCAATGGTCCGTCCACCGTTCTAACCGATATCTGCCACGCTTTTCGTTGACGTGTTCATCGAATCCTTCGTTTCGTCTCGTTTCTCTTCGGGCGCGCAACCGTCGTTTACACAAAGGTACACACAAGCTCTAGCTCTTGCACTCGCTCCCGTTCTCACACTTGCACTCGCGCTCGCTCCTACGCCAGTTTTTCTCTTTCTCCTCCAACGCTGCCTCCGCTCGTTACTCGCAATTCCCGTAATTACTTTCACGTCGGTACCTCGAGATATAGCGAAAATATCCGTTATTTGTTTCATTATACGCGATTTAGCCGTTCGGTAGCCGAAAATCCGAGGCCGATGATGATTCTTAACGTTATCAATTCCAACGATAAGACCATCGATAAAGTAAACAAAAGTCGGACAGCAATTTATGTAATCTTTTCGAATCGATTTTCATCGCGTTTATACGATGACCAACACGATTGTCACGTGACATGTCAGTCTAATCCTATAACTCGGGGGATTCCGATCGAAACGCGTGCACCTTCTCGTGTTGCGATAACCCATGGTAAGGTGACGTACTTACATTTTTGGATTGACGAGAACATATCGTATATTAGCAGTCAATTATAACAGTGAATAAACAGTAAATTATCAATTGTATTGATTTTAACAGAGGCGGTTTCAAATTCTAACCACGATAATTCACGAACTTCGACTTATAATTAGTAAGAATCGAGTATTTTGTATACTTTGTTTCTACTATGAATGCTCGATACGACTGGGCACGAAACACCAAAATGGTGTCCGAAGCACAGAGAATTCCTAACAGACCTCCCAACTTCCTGACCGTTCGTGGAATTTGCACTCAACGCCAGTGTGTCCATTGGTGTCTACTGTGTCCAATGGGGATTCTGCTTGGAATCTGATCTAAGTGGCAGAGAGGAGACCTCACAAATGAAATTGGACAATTCCGATAGATTGCCAATGGAAATCCATTAATTCTGCTACTCTTACTCTCCTGGAAGAAAGTCGTAAAGCGGTCAAGATACTGGGAGATCTGATTCCTAATAAGTAGTTGTATATTAATTATTTATTAATATATATAATAATTAATTAATTAATATATTAAGTTGTATTTATAAGTAGTTGTATATTATATAAGACAATTGTAGGCTGTCGTGAAAATGATATAATATGTATATACTTTTTTGTCAAACATCAACGAATAGTACGTTTTGTCTAAAAAATTTTGTATAAATTATTTGTTAGAATTTACGAAGGACATATATATATTATATTTTTGTTTTTGAATATGTATGTTTCCATTAATTTTCCCGCTAAATTTCATTTCGAACACAACAGAGCGCACTGCGACCGATCAATCTTGTAAAACTTGACCTATTATATATTATAAATATATTATAAATGTACGTTGACTAATCTACTGATTGGAATATTCCCACTTCTATACTACATACTTATCTCACAATCTCTCTCTTGCTATTCAAATTTCGTTGGATGTGCAAGATGCGTTTACGAAAACGGTGCATACGTTTATCGTTTGGTGTCGCTTCCTTACACGGAGGTACAGCCACAACGTAAAACACGATCATGCTTGATCAATGGCTTTTAAAAACGTTATAGCGCGAGCCCAGAAAACGGAAAACCATGATGGTCTAGTGACATTTTTCAATGTATCAAAAAGCAATGTGCGGTACCTTTAGTTTTTATTACGCAACGCTATTCAAAGTATGAGAATCAAGAGTTTGTGAAAATGTAAGTCGATTAAATTTTCTCAAGGATTTTATCACAAGTTAATGTCGTTTTCATTTAGTTAGGTTAGTCGAGATATTTGACTGATGATTGAATGTACTTTTTTTATGTGATAACTTTCTGTTTACTTTTTACTGTTAACATTCTTTACTTTCAGGATGGATGAAATAAATTATTGACCACGGTATTGTACAATTTTAACATGGTATTTGTTTTCCGCTCGATCGGAACGACTCGGAACATAACATGTTTCTCTCAGTTGTTGAGACTTCACATTGCAACGGTACACATGTCATTTCCCCTATAATGTTCTACAAACTTTAAAGACTCAGGGTGACACAAATTGCAATGTATTGTAGTATTCAAAGAAGGCTGCGGCAGCTGTAAAAACGTCGCCATCGCTTCCAAAAGAACGCGATATAGCTGCTTCAAAAAGTGGACAACCTAAAGTAATTTCTCCTCGATTAACATCGATCCATGATATAGAAAAGCCTTGTGTAGATGAAAATGAGTTTATTGTACGAAAAGACGGGGGTGTCAGAAAGGAACCAGAATGGAGGTATATGGAGCTAGAATTGGACAAACTGAAAAAGCATTGCCTCATGCTGTCTAAGATAAGGTTAACATGTAAGCAAGTTGCACATATTTATAACTTCTATTTTTAATCTACTTTGTGCCAGTATACATAGAGTCTATTAATTGCAGCACTGGTTGTTGTGACTACCATGGCAGGATATATATTAGCCCCTGGATCTTTCGACACTTATACGTTTGTAGCATGTTCTGTTGGAACTGGATTGGTTTCGGCTACGGCAAATGCCATCAATCAATTTTTCGAAGTTCCCTTTGATGCACAAATGTCCAGAACCAAAAACAGAGTATTAGTTAGATGCCATTTGACGTAAGTATAGTATAGCGGTGAACTTAGTATCAACGAAATTGGTTTCAAATATATTTTCCTTCAGGCCGGCGCATGCTGTAACATTTGCAACAATATCCGGTATTTGCGGATTATCTCTATTATATAGCGAAGTTAACGGTCTGACCGCGGCATTGGGAGCAACCAATCTGGTTCTCTATACTTTAATTTATACTCCTATGAAACGTGTTAGTATACTGAATACCTGGATAGGATCAATTGGTAAGTTCGACAGTGATAGGGTATCCTTTTATGATAATTGTGAAATAAGTTTATTGAAAATCACTTGATTGTACTTTAATCAAAGACGCACCTTGTCTATTCAGTTGGAGCAATACCACCGCTAATGGGTTGGACAGCTTGTGTCGGTGACATAGCCTTACCCGGTGCCTGGATCATGTCTGGTATGCTATACGCGTGGCAGTTTCCCCATTTCAACGCTCTGTCGTGGAACTTGCGGCCAGATTACTCTCGAGCTGGTTACAGAATGATGGCCGTTACGGATCCCAAATTATGTCGTAAAACAGCGTTACGTTATACTGCTATATTAACGGTTCTTTGTTACTTGGCGCCCATGTTTGACGTTACCAACTGGTGGTTTGCCGTGGAATCGACACCTCTCAACGCCTGTTTCCTTTACTTCGGTACGTCTACGATATTATATTAATGTCGATTGTACCCATACATCTGTATACGTCACCGTCGTTTCTCCTTTTGTAGCACGAAATTTTTATAAGCATTCTGACAGTGGAAGTTCGCGAAAGCTGTTCCGCTTCTCGCTAATTCATTTGCCGACGCTTATGATTCTCCTACTCATAAACAAAAAACACTGGTTCAGTGAAAACACACAAAAGGATACTCTAATCAACGAAGAAAAGAAGAACGATTTGTACTCGTTGTTAACGAAGTTAATCGGAACGACGACCTGGACCGTTTAAGACAATAACACTAGTCGAATTTGTATCGTTGATACTGACTTTAGAAACATAAGTCTTTGTGGAACGATCGTTTGATGATCGATGAGGTGCATCAAAAGTATTTTGTAAAATAGAATAACGTGTAAATAAAAATAGTTATTTGTTACAAGATCATACGTTTACCTAACATCGATACGATTGATGAAACGTTACACTAATTTTTATTCGCGTATGATGTACACTGTACGAGAACACAAACGTAACGCGCATATTTTTTTTCACGTAGGTTCTTTATTATTCGCTAAGCGATATCGCATCGTCGATAGTTTTTCTCTTCGCAGCGAAATCTATTGCCATCTGTCTTCTAGTTTTAGTTAAATTCCTATGTCCGACGCAGTCCAAATTTTCTGTGAAACACTTGTTTCTACAACACTGCCTGCACAACGTGTAAATGCATTTGAAACCCTGCGAGAGGAGAAATGGCAAATCATTGAAATATCATGTGCTTCTCATGCAATTTCTTCTGATCGATAAAATATAAAAATTGTGTTTTACAAACCACTGGATTCGGACAATCGCCACACAAATTGGACCCTCTCTTCACGACAACTGTTGGCCTGTTGGGACGCCGTGCGATTCGTCTAAGTTTTTTCAAACGTTTCCGTGATACTTCATTTCCATCCTCGTCTGTGAATTTTCTTTTCGCGGTATCATCCTGTACGAACACAGACAACAGTCACGATGATTATAGATTACTATAGAATTACGTGAGAAGACAAGAATTAGCGATACGAAAGACACCAACCGTCTCAGAAGTTGACAACGACGACTCTTTTTCTTCCGGGGAACTGCGTACGTAAGGCCGACACAACCACGGTGGTAGCTTCAAATTGTAGTCTATAACGAAAAGGAATAAGACTTATCTCTTATTGGCAGACGTGTTTACATTATGTATGTATATCATACCGTTGGTTTGTTCGTGCCACGCGAGACGGCCTTCATGGTAGGGCAAATAACGATCTCTCAGAGCGCACACGACGCTTCTAAACGATTCCATGGTAGAGTTTCGTGCCAAGTTTTCCCTTTCTTCTTTATTTTCTGGTAAAGAAAGTCTACTCTCCGGTTAGAATAATGTTGGATACGTCGTTCGGGCGATAGTAGGTGACAACAGAGAACCGAGGTCTGAACAGATCGGATCAAAGAAGACGATACGTACGTGTGATGGAACAATTTGAAGAGGTGACCGCGGACGTAAGAAGCCGGGGCAGGGTACCGTTCCACCAGTTCTAAATATTCGAGCGCCGGTTCCCAGCTGGCCGGATAACAAGCCTCGAATATGTACGGATTATAAAGATTTCCTTCCGCCGACATCACGGCCTGCACGCCGGTTTCTTCTATGCACCTCTGGACATCTTGTAGGCATTGAATGTTGCCGTTGGCAAACACCGGAATCGTAACAGCTTCTCTAAATGTATCGAAGTAAGAGGAATCGAGTTCAATAGCCGATCAAAGGACCGGATTTGGGTCTTACTTAACCCCTTACACTACTTTCACGAGTCTGACTCGTGATGAAAATTTTGTGCCAAAATTGAATTATTTTATATGTTATAAATATACATATATAATACATATATAGTATATATATTTTATATATTATATAATATTAATTAATATTAATATAATATTATTATATATGTAATATTAATAATAATATATAATATTATATTAATATTAATATTATTATAATTAATATTATATCACTAAGGTGTCATGTTTCAAATTGCGTCACTCGAGCTCCGCCGCTCGGCTCCTCCAGCGACCATTCCGGCGGACAAGTTTGCCACGGTTTTTTCACAATTTCGGCGTAGTGCAAGGGATAAAAACCGCGGGCATCGAGATAGTACCTGATAGCTTTAATGTGATCCCAAGAGGCCAAACCAGTCAACGGTCCTTTCTGTTCTCTGGTACGTCCGTGTACGGTGAGCAATCGCGCTCCTGCGGCTTCGAGCATGCGGGCGTACTGTATCGTTTTCTCGATTTCTGGAAATACTCGCAGCTTACAGGTCACAGGTACTCGAAGTCCCTTGCTCAAAGTGCTCACTGTGGACAATAAAGATTAAATAAAAGGTTGGAGAATGACTCGTTGAAAATGAGAGGATGATTTTACTCACCGATTCGCCGCAACAAGTCCCAGTCATCTTGCAAAAAGGCACCGTAGCGACCGCGTTTCGCAATAGCCTGTGGACAACCTATGTTTACGTCTATTGCGTCGCAGTAGGACTCAGCTAAAAGCGCCGCCTCCAGCAACACGTTCGGCTCGTTACCACAAAACTAATGAAAAAATAATGACAGATCAAAAGAAACACAAATATTATAGATCTCATCGCTGTCGAATCAAGATTCTTGGAACTAACCTGCACGATCAACGGCCGATCCTCCCCGCTGCTAGCTAGAGCTTCCCGCCGATATTTCGGGTCTCTGCGGAAAACCGAGGAGTGAAGCATCGGCGTGTAACAAAGGTGAGCACCGTGCTGTCGACTCAGCAATCTCCAGGCCAGTTCGCTGGCGTCGACCATCGGCGCGACCACGTACCGCGGGGATCCCAGCACAGTTTCCCAGACGTTCTCAGCCGCGGGCTCGTCGGCACGATTGTCCGCGAACGGTTTCGCTGTAACCGACGTCATCTACGAGGGGAATTGCGCGCGTCAAATATACACGCGGAGCGTCGAAACGTAAAACAGGTGAAACGCTCTACAAGTCTCGCAGTTGGTTGGAACGTTTCGATGCGCGACAAATCTAACGAAAGGATAAGCGATCGAGAAAGGTTGCGGCCCGGAAGTCAAACGCCCGACGACGCTGAGGCGAACCGATCGAACCGAGGTGGCGAGGAGCGGGCGAATCGTGGCGACTGCAGGGAACAGGGAGAGCAGGGCGACCGAATGGAAAGTGGCGATCGAGGCGAACGCGGTGACGCGGGTTTCGACAAGCCCGACTCCAGGATCGGCGAGAGTTGTATGGACTGAGCCACGCGCGAGTTCATCTTCAGCCTCGGCTTCTTCCGGAAGGAGCAGGTACGTCGGGTGCGAGCGTGGCCGTGGCCCGCGGACCTCTTCAGGGTCGACAGGTTCGACAACTTCCTCGGCTGAGGGATCAGAATCTGCTCGACATGACGCTCCGACGAACGCGGTGGAAATTTAACAGAAGCTCGCAATCCGTTGCCGTCGACGGACCTCGTGACATGGACGATGTCAGCGACGGCGTCGATGTCGGTGTTGACGTAGGCATCTCTGTGGACGTCGCTGTCGGTACTAGACACGGGCGACCGTTGTTTCGGGCTCGTATCGACCTGCGATCGCGCGGAAGCCGGTTTGCTTTTGCTCGAACGAGCAGCGTCCGAATTAGACGATCGCCGTCGACCGCTCCTTCGTAAGTACGTTCTGAGAAATTTCCCTATTCTCTCAACGGCCTCGCAAGAGTTCGTCGCCGGCTGACCAGCGCCGCCGGTGTCGTTACCGGCGGTAGTCTGTCGTTTCTTCGCGGCGTCGGCTTTGTTGGTGGACCGGCAGCGAGTGGCCAACGAATTCGCGGCAGCGAAGCAACAAGAGACCGGCGAAGGCGTCGACGAACCGACGAGATCGACCGAGTCTCGGAACACGATGGTCGACTGGTTTCGCTTCGCCCCGGACGATCCTCTCGACGAGAATTCTATCGAGGTTTCGTTCGCGATCGACTCGATCTCGTAGGAGAAGCAAAGCCGGAAGTTCTTCCGTTGGTCGTTCCGCGGACGGACCCTCGTTTCCATGGTTGCCGGATCCAACTCGTTCTCGTCCGAGTCTGTGCGTCTGTCGAGGACGCGAGGTTGCAAGTCCGTTTCCAGTCTGGCTCGATCGCGTCGGTTCAACGGATATCTGTTGATCTCGACCGCGTTCACGTCGACGTTCGATATTCCATTGTTATTATTGGTGACCGTGGTGGTCGCGGTCGCCGTTGCCGCGTTCGTCGCGGCTGCTGCAGTCGCGGTTGCGGTCGCCGTGGCAACAGCGTGTTTCGCGCGTTTGTTCCGCACGTACTCGTACGTGGTCAAGCCGAGACAGGCGATGTATCCGTGGAAGAAGCACAGGTGAATCAGGAGTATGGCGGCGATCGCCGAGAGGATTCCGATCGTGGAGATCAAAAGGATCGAGACGGTGTCGGAGACGGGGGCTATCGCGAGGGCGGCTCGATGCAGGACCGTGGTAGCGGTCGAGGCAGTTGTCGCGTTTTCCATTCTAGCGTAGACGTCTGTTTCTCGATCGAAGAGAAACGACAGCGTCAACTCCGTGGCGGAGAGCCCGGCCACGGACAGGCTGGCCAGGATCGCGGATATCAGGCAGACGAGAAACGCCGAGTAGTTCCTAGCTCCGATGCAGTTGTTCAGCCACTTGCAATGGTGATCGAACCGGGCGACGCATTTGTTGCATATCGAGCAGTGCTTGGTCCTCTTGCTGTCGGTGGTTATGTTACAGAGGTGGCATCGGCCGTTCTCGATCACGCGGGCGTGCTTCGTTCTGTCGAACTCCGGCAGGACTTTGTTCGCTGGCTGAGCCCTGACCCTGGGGTCCGCCGGGTCCAACAGCAGCACGGTCAGGTGGGAGCAAAAGTGCGCGAAAAAGATGACCGCGATCAAAGAGGAAAGAACGGGCCGCAGGCTCGGCTCCAGCTGCGGCGTCAGCACCGCGAACGTGTTTATTCCGATCACCAGAATCACGATCCAACCGATCACTTGCTGCGGGTGCAGAGGAAGCTGAAGCCCGTGCACGCGCCTATACTTCCTGCGTTCCGGCGTGACGAACGCGTTCTCGGCCGAGCACCATCTCGATACAATGCCTCTCGTGCTTTCGTTTCGCATAACGTGCGCTTCCGTCGGCCAGCGCTCGCATCGGTGCGAGCCGTCAACCCCTCGTCGTGGACCGCTTCTCCAGCGAACGCCTTTCCAACCCTTTACTCCCTGTCCAGCGACCTTCTCCCTTCGCTTCCCTTTTGCTTTTCCTTCTCCTTCTCCTCCCGCTGATCTCTCCCATACTTTCTTCGCCTCTCTCCCTTCTCCTACGATTTCATACCTTTCGCACGTTCTCCTTTCTCCGATTGTCCGAATGTCCAATTTTCAATCGGCGTTTCAATGTTTCTTGGCTCGGGCAAAACAATGATATGGGAAAATTCGTGGAAACCGTGGCTGGAATGTCGGAACGTCGGGAGGTCGCGCGTCGTCTCGCCAATTCTCGGAGAAACTCGGACGGACGGCGAGCCGTTTCGACGGATCGCGACCCGCGACCCGCGACCAACTCATCGAATCGATACTCGCATGGCAACGTTGTCGCGTGAACGACGTCAAAAATGTGTCCCGTATCTTGCTGTATCCCCAACGAACGTGTACACATCGCATTCGTACATTCAAATTATTCGACTATTTTGAAACACGGTTCGTGTTCCCCGTCCGTCCTCTCCCGCCGCTCCCGTCGATTCGATCGAAATCCGAGTACCACCGGCACGCACTATCTATCGCATCTTTCGATAATCGAAATTCATCGAATTATCTTTCGACTTTTATGGTTCTGCTGCTTGCGTCCGGTTTACCTGATGACCTATCTCAATTTTTATTTTGTTACGTTCTATATATGTAGTCTATGATTGACTGGGCAACAGAAATACGTAGAATATTAGCAACGATTACAATAATCCGCCTTTTTTTAATACGCACGTTCCTTCGATGATCGTTTGAAGTTAAAAGAATGAAATACAATGTGTTTTATACAACATTGCTACCAAAACTAACCTTTATTGGTCAAATAAACCGATTTAAAGAAACGTCGTAGATCAATACTTCTATTTTGATTTTCTATTTCATTATTAACGTATACATCATACTCGACTAATTCGAATTTTTTATGGAACTAAAGGTCACTTTTGAAGATGTGTCTTATCGGAGAGTATGAAGTATCGATTGACATTATACGTTTAAGTGTCTGATAAATCTGAATAAATCTTGAAATATGAACATTACTTTGAGATACACTAGCGAGATACACTAACCTTGATTCACTGCTTCAACGAAGAGGTTAATCGTGAAGTTTTTTCTTAATTTCGACTTGGAATCACTGACACTTCTATAAAATATACTTGGTATGAAAATACATTCAAATTTTACAGAATATATCGTTTCGGAATAACTACGTGTATTTCTTCTCGCACAGCTTGTATCAATTCTACATATTACTGCAATCAGCAGAAACAAAACATATGCACTTATGTGCCCATGTATACGTGTGTGTAAAGTGTATATACATGAATATATGTGATGCTTGAAGATGCCGGAGAAACTATCGAGATTGTAATGTCGATGTATCGATGTTCGTCTGTAACGATTCCAATGCTTATATCGATTGTCGACGTCTCTGCCATTTCTCGCAATTTTGATTTCGATAGTTACTGTAGCAGGTATGTATGTATGTATGTACCTAACGTTGGAATTTATGGCGGGTACTCATGCTACAAGATGACAAATCTGCCAAACTCGATGAATCCACCTTCATATAGGTAGAAGGTATCCAAGCTGATCGAAAGCTTAAATGGGCTTTTTGGCTTCATTATGAAATGTATGTAACTACAGGGTGTCCCAAAAATGTCTCGCATTACGGAAATATGGGGTAGCTGAGATCATTCTAAATAACTTTTTCCTTTGCGAAAATGCAATCTGTGGCTTCGTCTACGAGTTATTAACGAAAGACACCTACCAATGAGAGGCGAGCTCGCCTAGTGATTAGCGGCCGAACCAATGAGCGCACGAAGCCCAGTTTCACTCATTGGCTCGGCCGCCTTGCGCCAGCATATCTCACCTCTCATTGGTCACTCTTTTTCCTTAATAACTCGCAAATAAAGCCATGGATCGCATTTTCGCCAAGGACAAACTTACTTCAAATTACCTCAGGAACCTCCTATTCTGGGATTGCGAGACATTTTTGGGACACCCTGTATATGCATATGCCACGGACCATAAAAATAGTGCATACGCTTGGCCTAATGGACGTAGGAGCGTAGTATCAAAATGTAAGGGAAATAAGAGTCCGCTGTGGCAGTATAGTGCTGCTACCTGTGTTTTAATTGGAAGCTACGCTTGAAATTTGAATTGACGAGATTTTACATCAATTGAAATATTAAGTGTAATTTTCCAATTAAGAAACAGGTAGCAGCATTATACTGCCACCCAACGATGGCGAATACTTGTCAATCAAAATTTCAAGTGTAGCTCCTAATTGAAAAACGGACAGCGGCACTATACTGCAATACAAAGATGGCGGACTTTTATTCCCCTTACGTCATTGGTAACAAGTACTTACTGTACTATGCACTAGGTACTGTCCTTATGGTCCATGGATATGTACATGTATACGCACATATGTATGTTGGTATATGCAGGTATACGTACTGCTGTCGCTGTCGTTGCCACTACCGTTGTCAATGAATCTATCTGCTCCGTTTGACTTTATCCAACGAAAATTGAACATTTCTAATGATCTTGAACGAATAGCTTTGCATCTCTATGATGTTATGTGAGCCATCGAAATGACTGGATTAATTGTCTTCGTTACAGTTTGCTTCGTACTCTATTGCAGTTTCACCTGGTAAAGTTGACAATAACTTCAATCTATTTGAAATTTCATGACACAACAGAATTGACGATTGAATTTGAGGAATTCGTTCTTTGCAGGATAATACCGAGACTCTTGGCATGGCTGGTGAAGAGGAGATACAAAATTTATTTACGGGTCGGCCACATTTCGTTACCTTATTTTATACTTCGGGACGTAAACGTTTCGAAAAATGGATTCACATTGGTAAATATTCGCCGAAGATCACGCTTCGGAGAAACTAACATAGGCTGACTTGTAAAATAATTTTAGGAAGTGGAGGAAATAAGTATACGGAGCAGTCTGTTCAGTAGCGATGTAGCAAAACTCTTAGCTGTGATAATGAAAGATGTACGTATAAACAAGGATGTACCAACAAAGACGCTGTGCTTGCCAAAGAAACCGGCGCATCCGTTGGATTTTCGAAATAAAAAGATTCCTCCGATAATCATAACATTTGTACAGGTATTATACAAGGAGTACAGAACTTACAAATCATTTATGGATTGTTAGGTACACGTCTCTTGATTATGATATCAAATGTTTCAGTTTATGGCGGTACATATAGAGAATTTAAGTCTTTTAGTGTTGGGTAACGGCTGGCTCGCAAACGGTAGTGCTGAGAGCCTGAGTCTGGACGGTAGCGTCGTACATGGAGCTCGTACCCTCCTCGGCTCCGCCAGCGTCGTGGGCGGTGCGATGAAATTATTGCGACACTCGTCCGACGCCTGTCTCTCGCAGATATCGTTTGCGGGTACGGCAGAAGCTACATTGAGAGCGCAAGGGGACCTTTCGGTGGAGGTAAGGTAATCTTCTTTCGAACGCGTGCACGTTTGTACTTTTTTATGTGGACGTTGCTTAGACTGCAGCGTGATACGATATTACGCGGAGCTGCGGTCCAAAGATTTTGTTCGTTGCTTTGAATGGTAGCTGTTTGTGTTCAGCGCACTTAATGGACGATCCGAAACAACTGTCCTTTCAAAGGGGAATCAATTGAAATCAAGCAGGATCTAATTTATAGAAAATGTACATCGGAATAATGCAGACAGAGGGTTCCGGTGGTGCGGATCTGGTTACCTTCTTCAAAGATAAAAGCTCGTTTACCGACGCGTCTTCGTACTCGAGCGCGAACGTTGACTCTTCCAATGATTTGTTGACTCGATTAGCGCCACTCATTCCAAAAGTAAAGCACTCGTTTACGTTAATTTATTTTTGAACGTTTACGTGGGTGAACAAATCAAAACGAATTTTTGTTTTCAGGATTTCATGTTGAAAATAGGCCCTTCTTCTGTGATCATGGGCAAAGAAGATGGCATGGTACTTGGTTTAGAAGGTACGATGAAGGGTCTTCAAATAAACACGAAATTCCAGCCTTGCAACTTTCAATTAAATCTTACTTTAAATTTGGATGGACTTTCCGTCCGTAGCAAGCTTCCCATTTTGACGCTGCGATCGTTATTAATCAATTCAAAGGTATTATCCATTGCATTCTACGTCTTTGCTTGATCTTTGTCTTTCTTTTTATTTCTATGTAATAATGTTGCTTTTACAGGTCGATCGAAATATTTTACAAATTGCCACGCAAATACACAACCTCTCGATTAGTTATGATCACAAAGATTGGGAGACGATTTTGTGCAATACCGATCACGAAATTTCAAGGCCGGTCACCGGCATAACTTTACAAAATAAATTACCGTGGTCAGATGTCAGAGTAAACACCGAGCTTTACGATTCGTCCGTACACGTCAAATTGATCGACGTTGACGAAGTCTCGTGCGGAGTGACTCATGTGAAGTATTCACTGAATACGCTTACAGGTACAGCTGCGACCGCAAATGTGTATGTGTCAAGCTTCGCGGCAGGTTTGAATCATAGTAAACTCTAATACAAAATGGTTTAATTCAATAGACACGACAGACGGTTGGAATACGGAATTGGTAGTGGAGTCTTTATATTGTACTTTAAACGGTTCCAGTACCGTCGCTTCGGAAACGTCCCATCAATGGGGTACACCGTTATCCATCGGGGTACTGTTGGCTACAACGCGTACTAATGCCATTGGAATAGCTGTCGATGCTCTCGTTGCCGAATGGAGTTTAGAATTTGCCAGATTTCTTGAAGAAGCATTCAAGTAAGCTTTACGAGGAAACATCATCACTTGCACACCGTTTGGCTCCATAAACATTTACTATTGTTTCGCAGATGTTGTCAAAAGAGCAAAAAAATTGAACCAGCAAAGAATAATAATCATCGCGATTCGGAGGATGTTATCCAGTTGAATCTGAACGTTACGAATTGTAATTTGTTTTTCATTGCGGAGAATAATCGTACGTATGTGTACGTATAGTGTGTAATGGCGATAGACGGAGCGTCGAGACGCGTAACACACCGATTAATTTTTAGTTTCCATAATGACCCGTTTGGATACAGCGAGTTTCGAACACAATGCGAAACGATTGGTAGCCGTCGCCGAGGGTGTCAGCGCGATTACTTTGAACAAAAATGAGCCAATTATTTGTCAACACGCTCAAGCATTAGCCCATCCGTTCCTGGCTGTAAGAAAATGCAAGGGTGCCGTCACATCGGAAACAATTAATATTAGTTTGGACGGTACCAATCTGGCCTGGAGTCCGAATTTGCATCTACGACTTTTACAGCTTTGGCTAGAGTCTGCAGATTTTCGGACGATTTTAGGTCGAAACGACGCAACGGCGACCAAGGTCAACGTCGAAGGTACTTACTCCAGCGTTTGTCTCGACACAGTCGACGAATACGTGACTCGTGGTTATTGATATTTTGTCGACAGGTGAAAAAGTTTCGAAGCGGAAGCGAGCGTTAGACGTGCTGGCTACCGGAGGCATCAGTTTGTCCATAGATATTTCTCCGAAACACTTTTTGGAACTGTCGTCGGACCAGTTGCGTTGGTCGGAGGGAGAGTGGAGATTGAATTACATCCGCATCGCTTTAGACATGGCCGACATAATCATGGTAGAAGGTTTCCAGCTGATCAGAGTATTGGAGAGCGAAGAAGTGAGCGCAGAAAGACAGAGCAACGAGGGTTTCGTATTAGACTGGAACGAGACGTGGGAACTTAACATTGAATCGGTAAAGGCTTGTTTCCCGTACGAACATCAGTTTACGGATGCTATACAAAATGAACTGTTCAGTATAAGGAAGTGGTTAAAGGAAATTCATTCTTCGTCGAATAAAAGAAAAGAGGAAACGTTACCATGTGATTTAATTATAAAGGTATGCAGGTTTTGCTTACGAAGAAACAGAAAGATTGAAAATAATTGAAACAATTTACACGATTGCAGATCAAAGAATGGGTATTCGAAGTGAGCGACGACCCATTCGAGGTACGATTGCGAGACAATTACGAGCTTTTGGAGGACGAGTATAAGGAGAGCATGAAACGGCAATCGATGCTCGATGCCAAAGTGCAAGAGCTTTGTCGGACTCATTTATTGCTGCCGCTAGGTAAGGTCGAAGAACTATACGACAGTCTGAATAAGAAGAACGCGGAGATCTACGTGCAACGATGGAAGCAAATGCAGCGCGCCGGTCCCGCCAGGACGAGGTTGTTTGCCTGGTCGATGTTGGACCTGGAGATCTTAGCGTTGGCCGATCCATCGATCAATGGTACCGAAAGAGCGACGCACGCGTTGCGGGAGATGGACGCGGAGACGCCCTGGCCCGAGGATGGCCTTGAATTCAGCGCACTTTGGGTTCGCGGAATAAGCTTGAAATGCGCTGAATGGAAGCTACATTTGAGGGACTTTCCGCAACCGTTGCTACTGGTCGAGAGCTTGAGCGTGTGGGGTAGGCTAGCTGGCGCTGAGGCGCTTGCACCTCCAAGAGCCAGACGTACCGTGCGGATCGAAATTGGTGCACCCTGGAACGACATCGTTGTCGAGAGGGGAATGACATCGCTAAAATACTACCACGACCTGAACTGGGACATCGACAAGTTCAGATACGCGTTCGGCCCGTGCTGGGAGCCGGTGATAGCCCAGTGCAATCTCAGTTTCGAGAAGATTATACACCCGTCGCGGGATCCGAGTCCCCCGCTACCCTTCTGGGACAAGATGCGGTTAACCCTTCATGGAAGGCTGACGCTCTGCGTGAAGCAGCTGACGGTGTTATTGCATGGCTCTTTGGACCCTTACAACACCACAGAAGAAATGGAGCTGACGTGGACGGGATTAGCACTGGACTGGACACAGGGGCGAATTATCGTGAAAGGAGACTTGGACGTGTACGTTCGCACGGCCAGCAAGTACGATGACTGCAGGTTGCTGCATCTGCCGAACGTGCGGCTGAGCATTAAGTTAGCCTGGGTCTGCTTAGGCGATCCGAGAGATCACCATGCTGCGATTCCTTGCGCACCAGACAGACTGCCCGAGTACTCGAGCAACCAGGAGCACGATTCGTTCAGGGCATTCCGTTCACAGAACTTGAACGCGAGCCTGTCCCTCGAGACGAAGCCGACCGGCTCTCCGACCTTGAGCAGCGCGCCTACCGCGTTGCTTTACGGCAGTACACTCAGATGGTTCGAGAATTTAAAGTTAATTCTCTCCGGGGCGACCAGGCCGACGAGGAAAGGGCCGCTGTTCAAGAATATCCGACCGAGGAAAAAACAACTCAGTCGACACTACCGTAAGGTTCGGTTGACCTTGGCGTTCCACCGGTTTCACGTTAGCTATTGGATGTCGTTCGCGATGCAACGTGGGTTCGAGGTGACCGGCGGCAGGGTAGCCTGTAGCTCCGAGCACAATTTGTCTCTGCACCCGATCGACGATGATCTGATACACCGACCGCGAGCCGAGTGGTCCGTTGTCTATATGAATTGCGAGCTCAGCGACGCGGAGATCTGGCTGAAGAGCGCCCTTCAGGAGGACAAGGAGACCGCGTCGCTGCGACAACCGGTGGAAAAATGTTACTGTCTGAGCGTGGCTCGGGTTAGCTATGGCAGGGAAGCTATGGTCACCGGCGTGAGTGGTGGCGACACACCTACCCATCGGCTGGTCGTGCACGATCTGAAAGGCGCTTGGACGAAAACGAACAGGGACGTGGCGTTCGCTCTTTTCGACTCGTTCATTAAGACTCAACAGCTGAAGAAGAACCTGTCAACCGCTGCGTTGAAGGGCTTCCATAGAGAGAGCTCGTCGACTCCGCACAAAAATCGAACAGCAGCCGTCAGGTCTGCTGATCCGCAAGCTACTCAATTGCCAAATGCTGCGATCGCGTGCAATTCTTCATCGACAAGCAAACCACAACAAGGAGAGGCCGTTGGGATGCTGCAAAGGCTGATAGCGGAGGCCGCGAACAAGCCTGTCGCCTTCAGCGACGACCTTTCTGTCCAAACCAGAGGCCAGCAGCTCCGTGGGCTGGCAGCTTGCCATCAAGACGACGTTCTCCACAAGAATTGGCTGAGTATGATTCCCAATCCTTGCTATTCTGAGTCATCGTTTTTCTTTGTTTCTTCTTCTCTTCTTCTTTTCTTCCCGGACGCGTTGCGGACACAATTGAAATTTTCAGAGACTACCCTCCGTCCGTTTCAGTTGCCCTGGTCAACAGTCAAGTGTTACTGAAAGGCATCGAGACGCGGGGCTACGTGATCTTATCTGCGGCCAAAGCTGAGATATTGCACAGGATACATCAACCAGTATGGAAGGAAAGAACCCTAGTTACGAAAACGACCTGGGTTGGCTCTTTGGAGTGTATGCAGTATTATGCGACCGTCAGTGCCAACATCGACGACAATATCGACGATAATATAATGTGGTTAACGTTGGACAACATTCAGGTAAGTTAAATGTTGCTTCCAGATGAAACTGTGTGAAATTACAACGAGTTAATCGAGTAACTGGAATTGTAGGAAAAAGATTCAACTGTGATTGCTGGTTTGCCAGACGTACCAGCCTTGGTAGGTTCCGGGCAGAGTGTCGGTGGAGTGGTCAGTCAGACCGTGGGTGGCGGTGGTGGACCGCAACACCAACTACAACGGATTGTCTCTAGGTGCAAATGTGAATTCTTCTATGTCGGATACGGTCAGGCCCTGGACGTTGGATCCGTTGACCAAGTCCCGCCGCCGCCGAGGGAAGAAGTCAGCCCCTGGGAAAGGAAAGAGCTTTCGGCAGCCGACGCGTTCACCTTGATGCATCATGACTTGGACGTTTGCACTAACTCTCTGCAGTATGCTATGATTCTTGATATCGTAAACAATTTGCTGCTTTACGTCGAACCGAGGAGAAAAGAAGCTTCGGAACGGTTGCAGAGAATGAGGTTTCAGTTGCAGCTGCACTCGGTCGAAGACCAAAAGCGACCGATTCAACAATTGCAAAACACCGTGCGCGGTCTGGTAGCCAAATTGAGGAGATTGGAACGCGAGACGTATCTGGTACAGAAAGCTCTAGCAGAGAAATCCAGTCCCGAGTTGCTCGCCGAGATGGAACGATTGGAGGCCAGAGTCTTCGAGTGCAAGGAACAGCTGGCTGCTAAAGCGGAGGAACTCGATGTGATGTTCAGCTGTTACAAGGAAACCACCGCACCTGCTACAGCTTCCACCACTTTGAAGGATAAACCGGCAGCAGTCGCAAGGGTTGCCGAAATCTGCTTCAAACACGCTCAGTGGAGATTGACGGACGCTGATGGACAATTGGGAATAGCCGACCTTATCTTAACTAATTTCTTGTACACCAAAACCAGCAAAACGGACGACTCGGTCGAGCATCTGCTTGAACTGGGATACGTCCGAATGACAAATTTATTGCCAAATCAGGTTTACACAGAAGTTTTGACGCCAACAGAATTGCAAAGCAACATGCCCGTTGATAGGCAAAGAGCTCTCAGAGTTTTCTGCAGGGAGAAGGCACCGGTGGCCGGGATATCCGTCAAAGAACATTTCGAAATCAACGTGGTTCCTCTGACGATAGGTAAACTATCCCTGTTCTTTATCTGCTACTTCGTTCCAGATTAATCTGAACTTCAACTTTGATGTAGGATTGACAAAAAAGTTTTTCAATACTATGCTGAAGTTCTGTTTCCCCGAGAGGGATCCAGAAGGAATAGAAGAATCACCTGCTCCACAACGAGATTCCTCATTTTACGTGCCCATTGAAAGAAGAGACGACGTGGAAAAAATGAAGGAGAGAGCAGACAAAAACAAACTGTTTATATACATAAAAATACCAGAAGTACCAGTTCGTGTATCTTATAAGGTAATCGTGTACTGAAGATACATGTTCGAGTCGGATTTTATGCTATCAGATCTTAATTGACGTTTCGTACCGTTACAGGGTAACAAGGAGAAAAATTTGGAAGATGTCCGTGATTTTGCACTTGTAATACCTACGTTGGAGTACCATAATGTCACTTGGACGTGGCTGGATCTTTTATTGGCTATGAAAAGTGATTCTAGACGCGTAATATTGAGTCAAGCCATCAAGCAGAAGCTACAAATCAAGCCACGAGGTCCACAAGAAGAATCTGCCCCACAAGAGGAAGATAAAGCTCGACTTTTGTTGGGTGCTAGACACTTGCCTGGAGACGCGAGAAAGAAGGGCGTATTTAAATTTAAATAGGTCTTCAGTTTGGATCTTGTCAAAGACAATTAAATCGAAAAGAAATGGAACGATAGGAAACAGAGTATATTAAGTATTTTCAAACGGTGCTCGCAAACTTTTCTATTTATTTTATTTACTCTGTACAATAATAAAATCGAACCTCGACCATAAAAAATATCATCGGTTTCGCTTTGTATCAAATTCCGTTTTGATAAATCGATTACACCGTAATCATATTACAGATAGAATGCTTGAAAATGTCTTGTTTACGCACTTGTACATACAATATACATATTACTATACGTCTACTATTTAATATTCGAAGACAGGGCTGATAGATTCAGTTGGATCTATTTTAATAAGTGAAAACATTAAATTATTATTATATACAATGAATCGTAATTATTTGTGATGTTTTAATAACAATCCGTCGAGTTATTCCGTTACCGTTTTCACTACAAATTTTCATATTATAGAAAAATAAATGCGAAATTCTGGTAACGTTTCGTAAGTACAATATCGTATTCTTCGTCAAAATATGTACAATTTACATGCCACTGTGAGTGTTGTTACTTACTATAGACTGATCAAAGGAGCCTCAGCGTTTTTGCTCGCATGCCTCCACTCATTCAAATCGGCCAAAATTCTTCTACCGTACATTGTATGTAATTCGCGAAACGTGATCCTTGTTCTTGGAACATTTTCTGTTCTCCCACGAGCAGATCTCACGCTCTGGGACCGATGATGAGATTCGGGTCGATTAAAGGGGTTATGACGTTGCCGTGGAGGAGCTTTAGGTGACGGAGAAGGAGCTACGACCATAGTGGTTTCTTCTTCCGCAGCATCCAGTTGTCTTTGCAGTTCTGCTACCATTAATTTCATATATTCGTAGCTCGCACATGCTAAAGCTTTCATCCATTGTTCCATAGATTCCTATAAATCAATTCATTGTGTATTTTTCGGAAAAACTAACAGCACGAAAAAATAACGATGAATTTTTACTTGAGATTCGGCAGCAAGGGCGTAGTTTCTATTATTTGGGCCATGAAAGACTATTTGGAAGCCAAATTGTTCCTCGTCTTCTGCCAATTCGATGGTACAACCTTCCAGAACTATCATACCAACCGGCTCTTTGTCACCGCGTCGATCAAAGTAAAATAATATATTTCCCTTGAGAACGAACCATCGTCTCTGATAGCCACGGTTCAATTCACCGCGTTTGTTTAACCAACCTTCCCGGTCCACCGGCGTAGCCGACGTTGCGAAAGCTACCATATTTTTCTCGTTTATTTTCATTGCATTTGAAATTCTATCCTGATAGGGTTTTCTTTCTTCTTCTAATGCCTCTTCTATTCAATAAGCTTGTCAAAATCTTCGAACTTAAAACTGAAGTTAACCTTATGCGTGAAAATATTGATACTCGTGATCTAAATATTTTCACCGATATCCTAAAAATATATAACAATTATTTATGCAATTACGCACACTATATTTTCTTTCAATACTCCGTATTTATGCAACGAACCGATTACAAGCTGCACTCTCGCTCAACTTATCATTGCTGTCATTTTATCGTTTTACGTACACAGACATATGTGTAAAGTGTAAAATATACGTACGGTGCATCCCAGGGAGGCTCGACTCTAGTAAATTTTTGGGTTACTGTTCCGACTGCCATCTGAGCTAGTTGCAGATTTGGACGAATTAAAATTCAATATGGCGGTTTAGAAGCGATAATTCAAATTCTGAGTTCTAGATTCAGAATGTATTAAGTACATTTTTTTCGAAAATAGCGTCATCAAACAAATTAAAAGAAGCAGCATAATGGTGTACATAACCTAATTTTGAAAAAATGTACAAATAATATAATCAAAGTTGAAAACTAATATGAGAAACAAATTTTTTATTTTCTATTTTATAGTGGTATGCAGCAAAAAAATCATTTCTAATTAAATATATACGCACACGTTTATTAAATTGATTTATCCGCTCCGATGTCCTCGTTGCTACGTTGTCGATGATAGGATGNTTTGCAGTTCTGCTACCATTAATTTCATATATTCGTAGCTCGCACATGCTAAAGCTTTCATCCATTGTTCCATAGATTCCTATAAATCAATTCATTGTGTATTTTTCGGAAAAACTAACAGCACGAAAAAATAACGATGAATTTTTACTTGAGATTCGGCAGCAAGGGCGTAGTTTCTATTATTTGGGCCATGAAAGACTATTTGGAAGCCAAATTGTTCCTCGTCTTCTGCCAATTCGATGGTACAACCTTCCAGAACTATCATACCAACCGGCTCTTTGTCACCGCGTCGATCAAAGTAAAATAATATATTTCCCTTGAGAACGAACCATCGTCTCTGATAGCCACGGTTCAATTCACCGCGTTTGTTTAACCAACCTTCCCGGTCCACCGGCGTAGCCGACGTTGCGAAAGCTACCATATTTTTCTCGTTTATTTTCATTGCATTTGAAATTCTATCCTGATAGGGTTTTCTTTCTTCTTCTAATGCCTCTTCTATTCAATAAGCTTGTCAAAATCTTCGAACTTAAAACTGAAGTTAACCTTATGCGTGAAAATATTGATACTCGTGATCTAAATATTTTCACCGATATCCTAAAAATATATAACAATTATTTATGCAATTACGCACACTATATTTTCTTTCAATACTCCGTATTTATGCAACGAACCGATTACAAGCTGCACTCTCGCTCAACTTATCATTGCTGTCATTTTATCGTTTTACGTACACAGACATATGTGTAAAGTGTAAAATATACGTACGGTGCATCCCAGGGAGGCTCGACTCTAGTAAATTTTTGGGTTACTGTTCCGACTGCCATCTGAGCTAGTTGCAGATTTGGACGAATTAAAATTCAATATGGCGGTTTAGAAGCGATAATTCAAATTCTGAGTTCTAGATTCAGAATGTATTAAGTACATTTTTTTCGAAAATAGCGTCATCAAACAAATTAAAAGAAGCAGCATAATGGTGTACATAACCTAATTTTGAAAAAATGTACAAATAATATAATCAAAGTTGAAAACTAATATGAGAAACAAATTTTTTATTTTCTATTTTATAGTGGTATGCAGCAAAAAAATCATTTCTAATTAAATATATACGCACACGTTTATTAAATTGATTTATCCGCTCCGATGTCCTCGTTGCTACGTTGTCGATGATAGGATGGATCAATCTAAAAGAATCTAAAACAAAAATATATGTACTTTAAATACAATTATGAAGATATAAGAGACTATGGGAAATAAAAATAAGTGTGGCTTACTGCTTATGTCTAGTATATCTGCTTTCTGTAGTTTGGTTTCATTTAGAATGGCGGGCATCCAGCAGTCCATCAAATGCGCATGCGCGTGGGCAGCCATATTGAATTTTAGTTCATTCAAGTCTACAGCTAGTTTAGATGGCAGTCAAAAAGGTGCCCCCATTTCCCTCTATAGAGTTGACGGCTCCTGGTGGATTCTACCCCCACTTCCTAGTCTCTAGTCGCCGTGTCCGATGATCTGACGTATGCACCGTACAACTGCACAATTAAAAAACACAACAAGGTCCTCGAGACTGTCAAAATTTTCTCTCATTGATCGATGATTAGCTTGTTGTATCATTTGTATCTTGACTGGATTTTTACGAGATAGTACATACATATGTACAACTCCATACATATGTACAACTCCATACATATGTAGTAGGGACCTAAGTGCAATGTTTACATATGTACATGAAGGAGCTTTTATAAACACGACGCTACGGGAAAAATGTGTACTACATATGTACATATGATTTGTGTACAGTTTGAACGGATTATAGATACGTATGTACTAACCTCAAATAGGTTACGTTAGGCTGCAGAAATACATAAACGTCATACAATCACATATCACCTGTATGCGCGTGTTTTGCATCGAGCGTTGCACTTAGATACATATCATTTAATCGAGAATATCGTACAGATTTGGTAGTTCAAGATGGGGAAAGGATTTAATAATTATATGTGTAAAAAGTTTTTCCATCCTGCATCTCGAGACAACTTGAAACGAGTATGTATCTTCTTATGCGTAAAATAGAGTAATTTGAATAAGATAGGTTATTTATATTTCACTTCAAAATTATTAGGTATCTTATTTACTACTTAGGTATGGATGGCTGAACAACAAGCTGAGGCGTACAAGAAAAAACAGGAGGAATTACGTGTTCAATATGAAAAAGAACAAGATCTACATAATAACAAGTAAGATGGTTATCTTAATGTAATTCAAATATATGTCATGGTAAACGTTGATTTCTTAATTTGTTACAGAGCTCTGTTGAGTAAAGAAAGCAAAGATAAGCTCAGTGTAAATTTTATGTACGAACCTCCACCTGGTGCGAAAAAAGAAAGAGAGAAAGAAGATAACGAACCAGAGTACAAATTTGAATGGCAACGCAAGTATAATGCACCTAGAGAAAGTTATTGCAAAGGAGACAGTGAAATTAGAGATCAGCCTTTTGGAATTCAAGTACGTAATGTACGTTGCATCAAGTGTCACAAATGGGGACATATAAATACAGGTCTAGCATAATAACTGGTTTAAAATTTAGATATTAAAAGGTAAATTTGAAAAGGGATTGAACGGTATAATTAATTTCCAGATAAGGAATGTCCTCTCTACAGTCAAGCCATGAGCGTAGTGATGGCTAATAATTCTCAAGCACCGCCTGCACCTGATGCTCTTACTCTGGTACAGCAAATGAGAGAAGATGGCTTGGCACTAAAAAAGTATGTTTTAGTTTTCTTGTTTATATCTTATTGAGGTAAGATTTTCTTTTCTATGAAGGTTTTTATTTTTTATAGATCCGCATTAAATGCACAGCAACACTTACGAGTTCCTGAACACGAACATCTCATGGTTTCAGATGATGAAGAACAAACAGAAATCAAATTTTTGAAAGCTTTGTCCAAAAGAGATAAGAAGAAATTGTTGAAGTAAGTGATCTTATTTTATAAATGTATTTTGAATGTAAAGTTAACTAATTTTCTGAAAATCATAATTACAGAAGACTGCAACAACTCGAAAAGAAAACCAAGAAACACAAGAAGAAAAAATCAAAAACAAAGAAAAGAAAAACAAAACGTAAAGACAGTGATAGTGACACAGACAGCGATCATCGTAGGCAGCGTTAAGAATAACAGTAGCAAAGACGATACTGATAGTAGTAGAAATAGTAGTAGCGTTAGCGACAGCAAAAATAGTAATGGGAGTAATATTATCAACAGAGACGGTAACAATTATTTTAATATGAATAATGTTAATACCCAAAAAAAGAACACGAGAAGATAAACATAAATCTAATTTAAAAACAAAGAAGGAAGGATGTAA